GCCCCCCCTGTGACCTTCACTCCAGGGCCCCCGTTTGTGAACGGGCTTCATGTCTGAGAATTGGGCCTGTTTCCCAGGGCTGCTAAGAACCATGGTAAGGACGGCTTAAAACCTGCAGACAAAGGAGAGTTCAGAATCCAGCAGTGGGAGACCACAGCAGGTGTGGGGGGAGGTGCGGAGGGGGGTCCTGGTCACCCTCTGCCTTTAGCTCCATCCCACTCCATGCTGATGGCTGGGTCTCATACCAACATGTTACAGGGGGTCCGTGCCATCGAAGGCCCGAGACGAACAGAATTTACTCTTCTATGAGTCACAGAGGGGACCCGGCCAAAATATGCTGATGATCAAATCATTAGGATTCCCAGTTTTCTTCCCCAGTCAAGGTGGCATTTGCTCTGACTCCAAAACCAGAAACAGTAAGTGACAGGCTTTTTAAAATTATTATTATTTTAAAAAAAAGAGAAGGCATCAGCTGTAGAAAACTAACACTTGCTTCAATGAAGTAACATTTTATTTCCTGGGGTAAAAACAAAGAGAATGAATTGTCAGAAGTCTTCCTCCAACATCATTAACATGCTTTTCGAAGGAAGGTATAAGAATTGTTTAAGGCGCACAAAAAAAGTCAGACTTGCCTTTCTTCCAGGACATTCCCTGCCCTAGATGCACAGCACCGATACCACATCCCAGAAAAGAGAGAGGCTTACAGACACACAGGAACCAGACCTTGTACCCAGGGTCTCTGACTCTACGTTTCACAGAAAAACATCACAGTAACTCTCTCTTCCACAAAGACAACACATGTCCAGAAAAATATATCCAAAATATCTTCATCTGAACTACAGTACAAAAATCCACTCACCAGCCATAAAAATATTTCCCCCTATACACAAATACAATCATATGTAAAGCAAATGTGGAACACATGAATGGGGGGGGAGGTTATAAAATCCCTTGGGATCTGGGCTATTTAAAGTCATTTTTGTTTGGGTTATTCCTCTGCTGGGTATAGGAAACTGGCTACAAATACATCCATCTCATGGTGCTCACCATTTTAACAGCTCTTGCGTCATGGAATGTGGTACTTTTTAAAAATAGGCGACCCTTGGTGTCATGGAAAGAAGAGGGAAAGTGGGGGGATCCAGGGAACGAGGGAGGGAGGGAGGGCAGGAGCGAAAGGAAGAGGGGCAGACGTGGGTAATGGGGTGGGTTTGAAATACTCTGTGGTATAATGTAGATGCCCAGGCTCGGGAGGCTTCAGCCGTCCCACCAGATCCCCCTTATAAATCTGTCTCCCGGCTGGTGTCCAGGCAGAGGGCATACAGGGACCTCCGCAAGTCCACATTGCTCTTGGCCTTGAGGTTACACTTCTCTAGAGGGCAGCTGCCCCCTCGGGCCCCCTCCGCATTCTCCAGGGACCCCTTGCAGAAGGACCCCTTGTTCCAGCTGGCCTTCCGCTGGCCTCTGCCGTCCAGCCCTGTCCCCTGGCTCTGGCTGCCCTGCTCCTCCTTCAGGGCGGTCAGCTCCTCGTGGCGGTCCGACTCCCGGTGGTCTGTCTCCCGGTGGTAGAAGTAGTTGAAGTTGGAGACAATGACGGGCACCGGCAGGGCGATGGTGAGGACCCCGGCGATGGCGCACAGTGAGCCCACGATCTTGCCCCCCACGGTGACTGGCCGCATGTCCCCGTAGCCCACCGTGGTCATGGTGACGACCGCCCACCAGAAGGCATCTGGGATGCTGGAGAAGTGGGTGTGCTGGTTGTCCGCCTCTGCGAAGTAGACGGCGCTGGAGAAGAGGATGACTCCGATGAAGAGGAAGAAGATGAGCAGTCCTAGCTCCCGCATGGAGGCCTGCAGGGTCTTGCCCAGGATCTGCAGCCCCTTGGAGTGGCGGGACAGCTTGAAGATGCGGAACACGCGGACCAGGCGGATCACTCTGAGGATGGCCAGGGACATGGCCTGCTGCCCGTTCTGGCCGCCCCCCGGCTGTGGCTCCGCCAGCTCGGTGCCCAAGGTGATGAAGTAGGGGAAGATGGCCACCACGTCGATGACATTCATGATGTTCCGACAGAAGTCGGCCTTGCTGGGGCAGGCCAGGAAGCGCACCAGCAGCTCGAAGGTGAACCAGATGACGCACGTGGTCTCGACGATGAAGAAGGGGTCGGCCAGGGTCCTGGGCAGGAGAGGCGCCCCCGTGGGGCCAGAGGAGGGCGCCCCGGCCCCGCTGCCATTGGCCCCCCGCGCCGGCCCCGAAGGCGGGTGGGGCGCCAGGGGGTGTCGGAGCAGCTCCCGCTCATCCCTGAACTCGGGCAAGGTCTCCAGGCAGAAGGTGATGATAGAGATGAGGATGACCAAGACCGAGACAATGGCGACGGCCCGCGCGGACCCCGAGCTCTCTGGATATTCAAAGATAAGCCACACCTGGCGCTGGAACTGGTTGCGGGGCAGGGGTTTCTCCTCTTCTTTAATGAAGCCCTCGTCCTCCCGGAAGCGCTCCATGGCCTCGTCCCCCAGCTGGTAGAAGCGAATTTCGTCGGCGAACACGTCCAAGGAGACGTTGACGGGCCTGCGCAGCCGGCCCCCCGGCTGCTGG